TTACACAATGTATCACTCGGTGAATATCAGAAGGCTAAAGAATATTACGAGAAAGCACTTGCCATCCAAATGCAAATTGGTGACAAGGGAGGAGAAGCAGCAGCCTACGGAAACCTAGGAAATGTGTTACAATCACTCGATGAATATCAGAAGGCTAAAGAATATTACGAGAAAGCACTTACCATCCAAATGCAGATTGGTGACAAGGGAGGAGAAGCAGCAACCTACGGAAACCTAGGAAATGTGTTACGATCACTCGGTGAATATCAGAAGGCGAAAGAATATTACGAGAAAGCACTTGCCATCAAAATGCCAATTGGTGACAAGGGAGGAGAAGGAAGAACCTACGTCAACCTAGGAAGTGTGTTACGATCACTCGGTGAATATCAGAAGGCTAAAGAATATTACGAGAAAGCACTTTCCATCCACATGCAAATTGGTGACAAGGAAGGACAAGCAAAATGTTACTTGGCTCTAGGAGGGGTTTCTTCCGGACAAAAAAAATATACGAATGGCGAGAAAGCACTTTCTATTGCCACAGAAATTGGTGACCGAGAAGGTCAAGCACAAGCTTTTGGTCTCCTCGGGAATGTGTTCATTTGGCGTAATGATCGTCAGAAGGCCATGGAATGTTACAAGAAACAACTTGCTATCAACGGTGAAATTGGCCATAGAACTCAATTTGCATATAGCTACCTAAACCTAGCAATAGTGTCTCTAATTATTGGCGAATATGAAAGAGCCGACGAATACCTTGAGAAAGTCCGCGTGATAAACTGTCATATTGGAAACATAGACGTTGAGTTAGAAACCCTACGCTTTTTTTCACGATTGAGGCTCTTGCAATCAAAGCGCGAGGAAGCATCTTCTTTTCTTTATCAGTACATGGATAAATTTGAAACACTGCGAAATTTTCAGCATGGAAACGAACAATGTCAACTGGGTCTTTTAGAAGAGCGCGGAATTATTCCCTACCAGGTGCTCAGTAAACTGCTATGTGCTGCTGGTAATCTTCACTATGCACTTTATGTCGAGGAGCTTCGACGGGCTAGATGCCTAGCAGACTTGGTGGCACGAAACTTTTCCGTTGAAAATGAGATCTCAGCTGATCCACAATCATGGTATGGGATGGAAGAGATTGTGAACAAAGAACGTGACTCTGCATTCTTGTACATTTCATATCATGAACGAAAGGTTTCTCTTTGGGTTCTGAAAGCAAACGGTGACACTTTGTTCCGAGAATCCGAAGAAGTCGATGACCAAACTCTCAGGGCTGAGGATGCTTTTAATTTGAATACTTTTTTCAACAAAAGTATCCGCGGCTTTGGCGTTTTACCCAAACAGAAGTGCGAGGATCGGTCTTTCAACGAAACCATGTCGATATTACCTGAAGATGAAAGCGAAGCAGATTTTAGAGGCGATGAAGCTATAGACACTGAAAGGATGCTTTCTGTATGTTCCAAACTGGTCATCGCTCCAGTGGCCGAACTACTCACCCAGCCGGAAATCATCATTGTTCCCGAACGTAGCTTGTACCGAGTCCCATTTGCAGCCTTACGCGACCAACCAGGCGGAAAGTATTTATCAGAGACCTTCAGGCTCCGCATCGTCCCTTCTTTGACGACTCTGAAGCTTATCCAGGACTGCCCAGCGGACTATCACAGTCAGACTGGCGCACTGGTTGTTGGTGATCCTAAGGTGGGTGAGGTTCGTTTTAAGGGAAAAACTCGTAGCTTCTCATCACTGGCCTGTGCAAGAAAGGAAGCAGAAATGATGGGACAACTTTTGGATGTTCACCCTTTGCTAGGAGAGCGCTCGACAAAAGAGGCGGTACTTAAAGAAATGAACTCAGTATGTTTGATTCACATTGCTGCACATGGTGATGCCGACAGAGGAGAGATTGTCCTTTCCCCTGGACCTTTCTCGAGCAATATTCCAGATGAAGAAGACTACCTCTTGAGGATCGCTGATATCTCACAAGTTAAACTGCGAGCTAAACTGGTGGTACTCAGCTGTTGCCACAGTGGACGTGGAGAAATCAAAGTCGAGGGAGTCATTGGAATCGCTCGCGCGTTCTTGGCATCTGGTGCACGTTCAGTGCTGGTAACACTGTGGGCCATAGAGGACAAAGCAACGGAGCAGTTCATGAATCGTTTCTACAGACACCTTGTTGACGGATTTAGTGCCAGTGAATGTCTTCACCAGGCCATGAAGTGGCTGAGGAACATCGG